CGGAGCTCACGAATTTGAACTTGGTCTCCAAGAAAAAAGGAAGATAGAATAGAAAGAGGATAGGGACAACCGTGTGTGCAGGCATGAGCAATGAGAATGGCTGAGCATTTTCCTCAACAGTAATGAGAAGGGATTGTTTGGGGGCTTAGAAAAAACTCCTCAGTAAAGACTTCTTGTGGGAGAAGAATAGGAGATACAAATCAGATGAGTAGGAAAGATCAGACCAATGAGTCCCTTTTTCCAAGAATATTAGGTCTTGAAAATTCAGCATGCATAATCTAGGAAGTTATCTCCTGGTATGTTAAAATAATCAACAATAGAATCTAGAAGTTTAAAAAGAGATGTTTGGTAGAAGTCTTCAAAATGGATTAGAAAAGAAAGTATTTAGGGTAAAAGCTGTCCATCAAAAGACTCAAATGCTTTTTTGAGTATCCACTCAAAGTCTGACTACATGTGAATATAATATAGTCCCATCCCTGCCAAAATCCACAGTCCACCGGAGAAATTAAACCCATAGTTAACTATTGAGGACCTACTATGTGCCAACAATTATACCAGGCACAGGAACATGGTAAAGAACAAAACAAAGTTCCAGCCCTCATGAAACTCATCCTTTAATGGAACTGAAAGACAATTCAAGACCAAACCAATACTTCTAGCTACATAAGATTAGATGACAAAGCAGGACACCAAAGAGAGAGTGACAAGATGGTAAAGTCAGAGAAGGCCTGGTCAGGAAACTGGCACAACATTTCAGGCCCAAGAACCAATAAATTGCATTGGCAATGCTAAGGAATAAGGATATTGAAAGGAAACTTCGTTTGAAAGTACAGAGATGGCAAGGAATCTTATGTTCAGTATGCCAAGTCTGTGACCACAGTGGATACCCACGCAGAAAGGTCTAAAAAACTCTCAAGACCAGAGGAGATAAAGACTAGACATGTACTTTTAAAAATCATCTGTTGTGGGTTAGGTAGAGCAGGTGCTCACAAGCACAAGGCCATGAGTTCAATCTCCAGTACTGAATAGAACATTAAACCATCCATTAATATTTGAGTCACAAAAATCCTTCTCTGTAAAATTCATTGACATGAAATAACTAAATCAAACAGTCAAAACAAGAAAAAAATAAAGTGAAGTACAAAACACACAGCTAATTATAGAGTATCCAATGGTGACTTCTTCCTTCTCTTCAGTCTTTTGAATTCCAGTGGTGGACAGTGATGGTACAAGTAGCAAGCAGCTAGTAGTAGTAGTAGTAAGTAAGTAAATAAACAAACAGAAGTACATTCGTGACAAACCATCTGAAAGATTTCTGTCCTCTGTCCCATCAATATCAGGCATAGTTGCAGGAATAGCTCTTCCTGTTCAGCATTTATTCACCACTTGGACTACATGTTACCCTATTGTGATTTTTTTTTCCTCCTTCAACAGATGGCTGTGTTTTAATGTGTAGGAGAGAGAGTTTTGGAATACAAATTAAATGAATTTTAAACTGGTCCTACCAGTTCTTAGGAAGGACAAGAATGAAATGCTGGATAGACTTGACAGTGTTGTGGTTTGGATATGTTTGAGTGGGGGCGTGGAGGGGAGTTGGACTTTAATACTTATTATGAAGTATCAAATGTGCTTACGTAATCTAAATATGGCATTTAGAAGTATGATCTTTGGGAGGTGATTAGGCTTAGATAAAGTCATCGGGGTGAAGCCCTTGATTGAACCCTGATGGCAGAAGAAGGAGGAGGAAAAGGAGGAGGAGGAGGAGGAGGAGGAGGAGGAGAGACACACATAAGCACACATAGCCCTGTCTCTTGCTCCCTGTATTTTATTGAGAATTCACTAGCAAGGTCATCACCAATATGGCCCCTTGCCCTTGTACCTCCAGAACCAGAAGCCAAACTAAGTCTCTTGCCTATTATCTTACCTAACTCATGGTATTATGTTATCAGCAACAGAATATGGGCTAATACATGTAGGATGACTAACTGTTCCAGTCTTCTCAAAACTGTATACACACACACACACACACACACACACACCTTAACCCTGAGTTAAATAGATGTGTTGTCTGGCTGGGAATGGGGCTTAGTGGTAGAGTGCTTGCCTAGCATGCATGAAGCCCTGGGTTCGAATCCTCAGTACCACATAAACAGAAAAAGCCAGAAGTACCTCTGTGGCTCAAGTAGTAGAGTGCTAGCCTTAAGCAAAAAAAGCTCATGGACAGTGCCCAGGCCCTGAGTTCAAGCCCCAGGACTGGCAAAAAAAAGGAAGGATGGATTATCACTATAGCTTATTCTGACCTTCCTTCATGGCGATAACCAGTGAATGACCCATGTAAGACAATAAACCACTTCTCTAAAAGTAAACTTACCCCAGCCAAAGTACCTGTTTAGTTCCCAAGTGCTTCTTGGCCTCTCCACCTCCCACCCAGGAACCGGGCTGTCTTTTGCCACCCAGACCTAGGAGCTGTGCTCGGAAATTCCTGGGCATGAACTGACCCTGGACTTCTTTGCCTGTGACTGCCCTATCACTACCACCTAAACCACATACCAGTGACCTCAATCCATGCCACATGCTCTTCCCTCTGCCTTAGCCCTTGACGCAAGCTGGTAGAACCTGGGGGTAAAAGCCAGATTATCAAAGAAGTGAAAAAGGATGCTCATTTTAGATGTGCTATAACTGGGGAATCAACAAGAAAGGGGAACTTCAGATGCATTGCAACCTGTTGACCACGGAGGATATATGTATGGTTTGCGTCTTTGAGTAACCGCAACACAGGAAATGCTCACTGCTGCTTGGTCAATTTTGGAGTTTTGGGCTCAAAGGCTAGCTGACTCACCTTTGGAGCAGAAACCAAGTCAAGGCCCTTATATCAAGAGGCACAGCATATTCCCACCAGGTTGCCACCTTGTATGGAACACTCATGGGTACTGGGAAAGCTCACAAATCACTTCTGTCAATTATTAGGGAGTGCTTAAAAATTATGTGGAAGAAAATGCCAAGACTGAAACTAAACTTGGCTTGGACCCTAGTTACAGAATTTCCTTGCCTGACTAAGTTCAAAGAATAATACACTGAGGACACAATGCTCCAAGAATAATCTCATTCTCCACCCACAAACTCTTACCTGAACTACTCAGGGCAGGGGAAAAGGATAGAATTTATGGCTAATACTTACTTGCCTTTATTACTGCATTGCCTGGGAAGCAACCTCAGACCCCCAAGAGAAGCACCCTTTCCCCTATGACTACGGGGCTCAGCCAGACTGGCTGGGAAGGCTGTTGTAAGATTGCATCAGTGACCTTTGCAATTTTCTGGCCAGTTTGATTTCCTCCCCCTGCTCTTCCCCTTTCCCCGCTTAAAGCCCTTTGGCCTATTTGCCTCTCCTTCCCTCTGTACTTTGCTAACTCAGGTATATGCATAACCAAAGCTAAATTAGAGCCCCCCCCCCCAACCTCCAACCATCCAACCGGGGGATTGTGTTTCATCCTTGTCCAATCCTTAACCCTATATCTAACTCCAGCTTCTGCCCCCTTCCCACCTTCTGGGGTCTTTTATTTTTTCTTTTTTAAACCCTAGCTTCTTACCCAAGCTCTCTAGTGCTCCTCTCCTGTCATTTATTATACAGCTGAACCAGCACAGGAGAATTTCACCCACCGGCTCAAGGGACTGGCAGAGAATTATTGAAAAGAACATGAAATATTTCATTTTGGACAAGCAGATCGGTTTTTGTTGTTGTTGTTGTTTAACTAAGAGCCCCATTCCATGCTTGCATTCTCCAGCCCCAGAGTTCACTTCTCCAGTGTAAGTGGGGAAAATTGGGGACCTATAGCTGTTCCCTGATACATGGAAGTACATATAGTTCAAAAAGCAGCCTCTCTCTCTCTCTCTCTCTCTATATATATATATATATATATATATCTTTCTCTCTCTCACACACACACACCTCTATGCATTAAAGAACACCCTCAACAAATAGTTTTCTATTAAATGATCTACTCTAGCAACGTATGCAACCTTTGAATTACAACCCATCAGGCCAAGAAAATGTGAGAACATACTGCTTTGTGCACTGGATGGAGGTGACCTGTTGCACACACGGAGATCTGTTCACTTGCAGGATCCCGCCCACCCCCTTGCATTCTCTCGGGTCCCCACCACCCAGTATCCCCGCGGGAAGGTGACTGTCGGGAGGAAACATAAGAAATCTGTACATCTGTCCCTTAGAATCCCCAGATTTCCTCATCAGTGCCTCCTCAGGTTGCCCCTGCACACACTGAAGGCCACTAAGAAAGGGCCCCTGGCAGAAATGCAGGTGGATGCCTCCAACCCCCTCCTTCCCCCCTCCCCCCACCCCCCCCCCCCCCACTGCCTCCCCAGCCTGGGACCTGCACGGGGAGCCGGGCTCTGCGGAGGCCTCCTGCCAGGCCCCAGCCCGTTCCAATCCCCCTCTCGGACACCCCCTCCCAGCCCCTCCTCCTCCCTCTCTTCCTCCTCACCTTCCTCCCCGCCCCCTCCGGTCTCTGGCGCGGGCCCGGCGGGCTGGAGCCAGCCAAGCCCTCCAGCCGGGGAGGCGTGTCTCGGGCTGAAGATATAAGCGGCCCGGGGACGCGGATGGGGTGCCAGCTGCAGTGTCTCCATCTACAAGGGCTGCTGAGCAGGAGGAGGAAGAGGGAGGAGGAGGAGGAGGAGGAGGAAGAGGCCGTGGTGGAGAGCTCCCAGGCCGGCCAGGACGGACTGACGCACAGACTGACCGCCACCAGCTCGCTCCCGCTGGCCGCTTCCAGCCCAGGCTGTCACGAAGGTGAATCTCCCCCCCCCCCACCTCCCTGTCCCCCCCACCCTGTGCCCGGGAAGGGGGAGGGGGCGCTGCCCAGGGAACCCCGGGAAACATAAGCCATCTATCTATCTACCGGGACTGACGGACGCCCCACCCCCACCCCGCAGCCCCGACCCCTGCAGGTCGCGCCCGCCCCCCACACCCCCCCTCCACCCCGGGGCTGAGATGGAAACCGTCCAGGAGCTGATCCCCCTGGCCAAGGAGATGATGGCCCAGAAGCCCAGAGGCAAGCTGGTGAAGCTGTACGTGCTGGGCAGCGTGCTGGCGCTGGTCGGCGCCGTGCTGGGCCTGGTGGAGACGGTGTGCAGCCCCTTCGCCGCCGCCAGCCGTCTGCGCGAGG